GAGAGTCTGCTGAGGCCTTGTCCTCAGGGGCTCTCCAGTCCAGTGGTGGCAGGTGTGAGCGCAGATGGTGTATTACACTGCTCTGTGCAAGCAGCTGGTGCAGGAGAACCCCGGTGTGAGGGTGGGGGAGCAGGCGAGGAACGCAGGGACTGCACACCTGGGGGAGGAAGGTTGAGCCAGGTAAGGAGGACGTTCCACTGAGAGAGAAATCAACACGGAGGGGCGGCTGGACCAAAGGAGAAAGTGACAGTAACTGAGGGTGAAACAGGGCAGGACGCCTGAGGGGACTGTGAAGGGTCTCTCCAGTGACAGAGAAGCTCATTTCTGCTTGGTGGCAGGGGAGGGCCGGTGCCGCTCATGAGGCTGGCTCATGGATTATCTCAAGCCTGAGTTCTCCCCCACTCCCCTGCAGGAGTGCCCCCCAGGTCCCTTTCCACAATAATCAGAACTTTAGAAGAGGGGGCCAGAGACCCCTTTGGGGGGACAGATGGCTGCTTGGCAAGAGGGAAGGTTTCAAAGAGCCATGGAGAAGCTGTGCAGGGCTGAAAGGGCAAGAGCTTTGAAGAGGAACTTCTGCAGATGGCGACCTTTGCTCTGGGACAGATCAAGGGCCTCCATGGGCCCGACCACTTGTGGGAGGCCTCCGGTAAGGAAAGGTCAGCCCCAGAGCCTCAAGATCACCAAAGACCAGCAACTGGGCAAGTAGCCTGCTAGGAGGGCGGGGAAGGAAGGGGGGTGGTGTTTGTGGCATGAAACCCAGGCGCACAACCAGGCTCGTGCATGGGGACGAAAGAGCCAGATTCTGGATGACAGTGAAATCACAGCAACCTCTACATGGTGCTTATTATGAATCACCTGCTTCTCAAGCATCTGAACACATTTAACAACCCTAAGAGTTAGCTACCATCATCATGTCCATTTTCAAGGTGTAAAAATGGAAATACAAATAGGCTAAAATTCTCATAGCCACACTTCTGGGAGTGTCAGGCCCAGGGTCAATGACCAGCTCTCCAAAGCCTTCATCAAAATTCTTTGAGATAGGAGAAATCTCAGAGGTCAATGGGTCCAACACTCTTAACTTATAGGAGGGAAAACTGAGGCTTAAAGACACCTGAGCAATTTGTCCAAAGTAGTTAGCTGGTTAGTTGAATGATAGAATTGGGAATCAAAAGAATAACATGAAGGTTGTTTAGTAGATCACAGAGTTTCAGGGAGAGCTCCATAAAGGGGGGAAGAATCCCCAGACGGCTTACATATGACTGCCTGGGACTAGCTACTGGGACTTAGAGGGCAGGGCTGAGTGGCCAGCGGAAGCTCAACGCAACCGGAAGGCAGGTGGGCTCTGGGGACGAAGACTTGCACTTCCTGCAATCTGCAGCCTGACTTGCACTGTGGAATGCTGGAAGGAGACCTGGAAGAGATACGGGGTAGGAGACACATGGGGAGGCTGAAAATGGCAGCTGTTACCTTGATCTATTGTGATATCTCCTTTGGTTCCAGCTTTCTGGGACCTGCTTCCAAACCCCTCTCTGCGGTTCCCCGCCGGAAAGTGCCTTAGATTCTGGCAAACTTTCAGGCCTCCAACTGCATATCAACCCTGTTTGGCTGAGCATCTGCCCTTGAGAATATGGGAATTCTGTATGTTTTATTGTGGAGCTATTAGTAGTAAAAAAAAAAAAAAAAAAAAAAACCTTTTCTTCTTCATGCTCGCTAACACTATTAAAGTTCTTTCACACTGACAGCATGCTTTGCCTTTGTGTGCACAGATGGTCAGACCCCTTTCGGGCTTGGGGGGCTCATAGGTACCCTTCGACCATGCACTAATAGTGGGATCTAGAACTGTTTCAAACATCCCTGCTGAAGTTGCTGGTCCTTTCCAGCACCCTGCTGGCTGCCTTCATCTCACCTGAGTCCTGCAACCATCCTGAGCCCACAGTGTCCCTAAAGGACGAAACCCAGAACCCTGGCCTCTCCTTTCCTTGACCTTAATTCCAGTGACTTCTATGCTCTGACATACAGTCAGGCTGTGGCACACCCACTGACCCTGATAACATGCCATTCCTTGATGGCTCTCTAGACCTTGGCCCATGGTAGATTCTATTTTTCTTTCTTGAACTATGCGTTTGTCCCAGGAATTAGTGGAACAGAGGATGTTCATCTAATGAGCACTTACTATGTAGAGATCTTCCATTGACGTTTTCTCATCTAACCCTCTCATCTCTCACCTCAGTGCCTGTGAGGTAGGAATAAATATTCATATTCTACACAAAGGAAACCAGGATCTCATTAGGGGAAAGGAATTGCCTGGCTTACAAGGCCACTGCTTAGCAAAGCCGAGCGTGGTCACCAGTGCCTCTGACCGAGCTCCTAGCAGCCCCAGGGTCAATGCACTAGTTCTTGAATCTCAGTGACTGGAGCTCAGAGGAGCCCCTTTCAATCTCAGAGCTGAAGGTCCCTCTCCCCCCTCTTTCCCCCTTTCTCAGCCCTTCCCAGTTTCAGTATTGCCTTCATTTGACATTCCTTGCAGTGCACCAGCCCGGAACAGAAATGCTTGATACTGTTGATCGACTAGTTTCATAAAAAGAAGGCAGTTTCCTTTGCACTCACAGAAGCTGTTAGCCCCTGGCGAGTGTCCAGGGCCTGCATTCCAGTGACATGGCCCAGACTTCGCGAGAGGGATGCAAAACCCCTGGGCAAAGAGAGGAGTCAGCTGGGCGAGAGATTTAAATCAAGAAGGGTCCCTGCCAGCAATACCGCCAAGAGCATCCTGTTAGAAAAGAGGCTTCCTGCTGAGAGGCCCTCAAACTGAGCCAAAGGCCTGAACACATCTGTGCAGGCTTAGAGGTGTGATGCCAAACCATCAATATCTGATTGCCATGAGGAAAGAGGTCAGGCTCCTAGCCTCCCCGGACCGCTTACCAGCCTTTGTCCTGGGGCAAGAAGCCACCCACCCACCCTCTGTAACCTCAGTGTTCTCTGCTGTCCACTGGGAATCACGACCCTCCCATGTGAGGCTATAAAGCACTCAGCCAAGCTGGGAGCTGATCATGTTCCCCCTGAGCCCACAGCCTAAGAGCATGGGTATTTCAAACCTTCCATGTGATGACAGGAGGCCGAGGGTGGGAAGGAGCAGTGCACCCAGGATTCAGCCCTGACTTTTCTGCTCAGGGCTTCAGAAGTATTTCGAAATCCTCAAATTAGTCCCTAGCCCTCAGTTATCCTTCCATAGAGTGAGGAGGTTGGGGCAGCTGTCTCCAAGAGCCTTTCAGGCTTGACAGCGCAAGACACTCTCAGACAAGAGAAGGTCCCTCCAATTCACGGGACCGTGGAGTCCTGTGTTCGCTGGCCATGGCCATCTCTCCCCACCGACACCATCATCCAGCTTCTTGTCATTTCAGGAAAGTTTGTTGCTGCGTAGAAAGGACAGTCTCCCTCAAGAATCTCTTCAGTGTTCGTTGACGAGTCCCTAATGAGTCACTCCCACTGGCGGTCAAGTTCTCACTGTGCCTCTCCCTAGAGACTGAGAGACAGAGCTAGAAGGTGAGGACCAGTCTTGCCAGGGAAAGCAGGACTTGTCTTCCTCTGAGTAAGCACAGAGAGTGGGGCCTACTCTTCTGCTTTCCAAGCACCTCCTTTGCCATTACAAAGCTCTTTCAAATCCATGACTCGTTTGCTTTTGGCAAGAACCGTACAGGCAAGGCATTGGAAGGCTGCTTCCCATCTCACAGAGGGGGAAACTAAGATCCAGAGAGAGAGGTGACTTATCCAAGGTTGCAAAGCCAATGTACCGGGCTGCCTTTCCTTCTCTGGAACAGATGGGACAACGCCTCAAAAGGCTGAGTGCAGAGCCGGTAGACATCAGGTCTGGAGATTCCCAGTCCCTCCGGTGCCCACCTTCCTCGCCCACCCAGCCACCCACCCTGCCTGCCCCACCTCCGGCAGGGCCTCTACTGACAGTTTCTTATGTGTGGCTAACCACACCTGGCATGTCTGGTCTAGTCGGGAAGCTCCCTGTATCACAAACACCCAGGGGAGGAGAAAGAGAAGGAGGAGTTATAAGACAAATGGGAAAAACGATGAGAGTGGGGACCACCCTTTAAAGCCACTAACATCTGCTGATAAGGCAGTTCTTGTGGAAATGGAATTATGAAACATAGTCGAAGGAGTAGAAATTGGAACAGCCGTTCTGGAACCGGTGAGTGAGTCTTGGTGTTTTCAATGACCCAGTAAGTCCACACATAGAAATCTACCACACAGAGAGGCACTCCTAAGCAGGAAGGCGTTGGCTGTGATATCAAAAGCTGCTAATACCCACAGGGCTTTGTTTCCATTAGCTACCACTTACCCATCAGACAGCATGCCAAGGCCCATTCATAAGAATGAGGTCCACCAAGAAAGAGCTCTGAGGTATGCTGTAAAGCGGGACAAAGCCAGGGATATACTTTGAAGTCGGGTGGGTTTAAACAAATACTTTGGAAGAGCTCTGAGCAGATGAGCACTAAACTACAAGCACTTTGGCTAGAGCACATTTTTGCTTTAATATTTTAACTGTTTCCCAACACCCCCCCAAACCAACACTAATACACTGTGAGGGATAATCTGGCAGTCATTAAAACAAACATGCCAACTGCTCCCCCAAAACTTCCAATTCATGATGACACTGGAGTCTTTATTCCAAGTTGGCCCTCCCCCAAAAAACTTGTCCTTATAAAAGAAATGCTCTAGGTGACCCCTCCAGTCCTTAGTAACAAGGATTAAACCAAACTCAGGCTAAAGGCTCATGGCAAAGGGAGGGCTCTGTCCCCACTGTCTGGGGTGGAAACTTTCACCTGTCCCATGTGCACTCTCCTCAGCCCCCAGGTCTCTACTGTGCATGGCCACTCGGCTTTGAACTCGCTGGTCGCAGCATGCTTTAAAGCCCCGTGACACCACCGGCCCCCAGTCAGGCTGCTGGCCTCGGGCAGCGAGCACCTCACATGACGTGCCCACAGCCGTCCTACCTCGGAGAACCTCTGCACGTCCTGGGTCAGCGTGCCCACCCGCTTCCACTGGTAGTGCTTCAGCAGCTTCAGGATGGCCGGGTTCACCGCGTTATCTGATGGGACAGTCCGAAAGAAATAAGGGTATTTTTTCTTATCAGCTAGAACAGGCGTGGTGGCAGCAAAGGAAAGCTGAAAAACACAAGAGAGAAAGCACTTTCACTGGGGGGGATCCCGGCTGTGAGCCCAGGATCTTTTCCAGAGAAAAAAGACCTTTAGTTCTGACTGGGAGCACAGAGACACAAGTGAAGATAACTCTTTTTTTTTTTCTCCTTTAGATTTATTTATTTACTTATGCATACGAGAACGGGGGTACAGGCCAGAGGTGCAGGGGCAGTGGTTGTGGTGGTGAGAGGATTCACCGAGACAGAGTGGGGAACAGAACAGGCAGATTAACTGAAATACACTGCTGAGGGGAGCAGCAGGAGACAGGAGAGGTCTGCTGTGCCATGTGGGTCACCTCCCTGGCCGGGGATTGAACTCATGCTGCAGTGGCTTTGGAGAGCTTTGCAGTGCTGTGCTTTAAAACCGATGCGCCACCGGGGAGGGCCGGCGAAGATAGGGAGGTAGGAGGATTTTTAATGTGAAAGTAATACATTATCCTTGAAGAGAAGGTTGAAATCAGTGCAAACTAAGGAGAAAGGGGGAAAATGAAACAGTAAGGTATATATCCCCCGGCAGAGAACCACTGTTAATTCTGCATTGTATTTCTTTCCAGTTCTTTTTCTCTGCATTTTTTTCATATCTATGTGATTAAAAAAAAGATTCTTGAGATCATTCTCCACACACACACAAAATTGAGCTGCCCCCACCCAACATTAGCCTACAGGCATTTAACCACCCTGTTACAGTATCCTTGTAACTCTTAATAGCTACACAATATTCCAACCTATGAACATACCATAATTTACTGAATCATCTCTAGTTTGGGGACCTTTGGGTGCTTTGTAATTTATCATTATTGTTCAGTTATTCTACAGGAATCTTTATGTACAACAACTCCCCTCCTTCCTCCCTTTTCAGGCTATTTCTGTAGGATAAAGCCTGTAATATAAAATTTCTCAGATAAAGGAGATGAGCTTTTAAAGACTTGCTACTTATTTCCAAAAAGGATTGTATCAATTTACACACCCACTGGCCTGGTATAATTAGAAGGCCAGCTTCGCCACATCCTTATCAACAGAGCGAAATAAAACATTTTTCTATCTAAGCTTGTAATGAGTTATATCTGAAAAACTGAATCATATTGCTTTCATTGGTTCTGCAGAATGTTGAACCTTCTTCCATGTGGGCATTAACTAGTCGTAAGTCCTATTTTAGGAATTGCTTTTTTCACGTCCTTTGTTTATTTTTTGAGTTGAATGATTTTCTTATTGAGTTTGAGGAACACTTCTCCTATGGATAACATTCAAACTCGGGCTATTACAATGGCTGCAAATATATCCATTTGTTTGCTTTTACATTTTCTGTGAGTGTATTTTAATTTACACTCAGTGGTCACAGCTGTTCCGCTTTCCCTTTACTACGTCTTCTTTTTCTTTTAAGTGCCAGTAAGATGCTAAATTGGATTTTAATTAACTGTCCTTCAAAGTCCAGTGTAAATGCCACTCCTTCCAGTAACATTTCCTCTGAAGTCTGCTTGCCCTTCCCCTCTGCCTTGTCCACAGAAAGCAGTTAAGAAACTTTTGATCTTGAGGTGTCTTGTTGTAGTCCTAATTTGCCTTCGTCTTGTGATGAGTGAGGCTGACTCTGCGTGCCTACGCTTAAAAGCAATTTGTAATTTCTTTCTGGCAACTAACTATTCACATCCTTTGCCTGCTTTCCAATTTGATTTTAGTCTTTTCCTTATCAGTTTGCAAAAGGATCTTTTCTGTAAAGGAAATTTATTTTTTAAAAGATTTATTTATTTATGCATACAGTACTAGGGTATAAGCCAGAGGTTCAGGGGCAGTGACAGGATTCACCAGAGACAGGGTGGGGAGCAGAACAGGCAGACTGACAAGGCACACTGCTGAGGGGAGCAGCGGGTGGGTCAGGGAGGCCGGCGGGTGGCGCCAAGTGGATCACCTCCAGGATAGGGATCTGAAGTCGCCAGGGCTTGGCTTACTTTCCCAGAGCAGCGCTCCAAACCGCTGCACCACCAGGAAGGGCCTAAAGGAAATTTATAATTTGCTAATTTTCCCCAATTTATACTTTTTTCTTTCAACATTTCTTCTGTTCTCTTTTGCCATATAGAAGATTTTGTTTGTTTTTTTTTCTTTAATGTGGGAGTATATCCATTCCCCCCCTTCTCTGTCCTCAAGTTCGGTGTCCTGTTTAGAAAGCACTTTCCTAAGAATTCCTCCTTGGTTTCTTCTAGTCTCCCTCCCCTCAGTTCCTCTTTCCCTTCAAACCTCCCTCCCAACTTTTCTCCCTCTTGCCCATCTTTCTTTCCTTCCTTCACTTGTTTTATTTAAATCTTTGACCCCAAAGAGGACACAGCCGAAACAAAGTCAATCTTTGCTGGCACTGACTTTCTCCCCAAACCCGGGCTTGTGTTTGCATAGGCTCTAGACCTAATCCATCCCAGACTAATTTCAGCAGCCAGAGAAACAATATCCTGGCACCTTCAGGCCCCGGTTGGTGATCCTCTACTGCCCCTCTTACCACCCGAGGAAATCCTCTTCTGCTCCCCACAAGACTTTAGGAGAGCTGTGAAGGGAAGGTCTTCCCCTGTGCTGCCTCAGAAGATGGACAGCTGCCACGCAGCAGCCCCTCAATTGCAAATGGAGTTAGAGAGCATCTGTAGGAACCAATGTCTAAGATCCCACAGACATGGGGATATCCCAAGACAGGTAGAAATCAAGAGTTGATGGTTGTTTAAAAACTCTGGATAGAAGAAGCACCAAGGAAGAACCTAAAGTATGGAAAATCCCAGCTGGACACACTTTTGCACGACGAGTTGTCCAGCAGTGGCCAAGCTGCTGGGAGTGGTGAGATCCTGGTTTGCAGATGTGGGCTGGACCACGACCTAGTGAGAGCACAGATGGACTTCAACACACCTGAGAACTCTGAAAACCACCTGATAAAGCTTGTGTGGGTGTGTGCCTATATCCAGATAGCAGATTTTTTGGAAAAGAGGATCCTTGGCTTCCAGCAGACTCACAAAGAGGATCCTACAACCCAAATAAGCTGGGGACCTCAAAGAGTGAAAGGGGAAGTCTCTTCAGTCTCCTCAAATGTGGTGTCTGTAACTCTTCTCTCAAAATGAAAACAACACTTCAAACCTCCTATTACCACCAGTGTAAAGAGGAGTTAGAAAAATCAGGGAACAATTATTTCAGGACTTGGGATGGTATATGTGCCATCACACCCCCCAAATGCTTATCTAATACAATTTGGAAAATATTGGTTTTCTGATGTGATTTCTGAATCACACTCTGGTTGATACTTTGCCATTATTGTCCCATTCGTTCCAGGTCCACAATTAATTGTTGCTCGAACAACTTCGTATGTTTGCCCTGTAGGTAATTACAGTGGTTACTGTTCAGTGAATAAATGGTCCATTGTGTCTACAATGAGCTTGGAGTACAATATATGCCCCGGGTCTAAATCATGTTGGGTGCAAAATATTAACTGGCACTGACATTTTCTGCACCATTTGAGATAATGCACACTTTGATTAGATTGCTCTGTATCACTGTTCTGTTCTAGCTCACTCACCTTCCTTCCATGGACAAGGCCGTAGGAGCCTGGTAGTGCTACTGAGCTTCAGAACTGGAGGGGCCTCAGAAAGTATCGAACTCAGGTGCCCTGCCCTGGGCTGCACATTGGAATCACTTTGGGGAAATTTTCAAAAATACTGATGAGTTCTTGGTCCTCCTCCAAACCAACGGAATCAGTCTTTGAGCACAGAATACGCACATCAGTATTATTTTAAAACTTCCCAGGCAATTATAATGCCCAGTGAGAACTGAGAAATACTGATACAGTTCACATCAATAGTTTTGAATAAGCAGATTCAGGCCCATAAGCAGTGAGATAAGGAGATATCCACCATAGCCTAGGAAAGATAAAAGCAGATCTCAGTCGAGCCCTCAAGGACTCTGCCACCAGAGCTCGCTCTCTCTCCCTGATGGCTGCCCACCTGGCTCTCTGCCTTGCCAGCTTCATTCCCCAGCAGAGTCCTCAGATCTCTGCATCTATTTGGAAAAACTAGGGCCCACATCCAAAGACCCAGCCCTTCTGGGATTCCGGAGATGGAGTTCATGTCTAAGCAGACTGTCACTGAGCCATGGAGTTAATCCCTAAGCAAAGAATCATTTCGGGGAATAGTTCTGAATTTATTTTATAGATTTGTTATCATTTTTAGTTTTATGGCATTGTTTTTGGGAACTTGGCAAGTACAGTGTCTGGCCTGGGAGTTAACTGAGAGTTTCTTCGTGGCCTATTATATAATCAAGTTATGTGGAAGTTCCATGGTGGATGGAAAAGTACATAAAAGTCCAGTGGTAAGCTCTACCATTCTGTATCAGACTTATTAGTTCTTATGCATTAGAGATATACTCAAACTAACCATTGATATTATTACATGGTTTGTATTTTTGTTTACCTGATTTGTCAAGGATGGAGCAGTTTGTAATTTTTTTCTCTATCACCTCTGACAATTTTCAACACCTCTATCACCTCTGCGTATTTCAACAGTTTTTGCTTTGTATTCTGATTTTACATTGTTTTGAGTATAAATGTTCCTGAAATTCATAGCTTTATTTTTCAGCAGTATGTACATCTATACCTTTGCCTAGTTCAAATAGCAGATGCTTAATAGAAAATCCTTGAGTGGACTGAGCATTAAAATATTTACTAGGGTAAAAGAAACCCCCTTGTCATTTTGCTGCTTTTTGTTTTACATATCTTGCTTGACAATAATACTGAAATCCATTATTTCTGTATGTGTTTACCTGCCATCTCTCTAATCCTCCTGTCATTTTTATTTTTTTATGCTTCCTCATTAAACAGTCAAATATGTGTTCTAAGATTTATCCGTTCTACTATTTGTAGGGTGTTGTGTGTGTTTTTTTTTTTACATCAAGGGGACGTCACCATTTATAAAACCCACATGAGTCAGCTTTCCCTTCTTATTTCAAGGACTA